CATGCGTCAATGTCTCTGGATCTATTTCATTTGTGAGGTCCTTTTGTTTATTAGCTTCTTCTTAAAGAAGACCCTTCAACATTTCATGTAGTACTGGTCTGGTAGTGATGAACTCCTTTAGCTTTTCCTTGTCTGAGAAGCTCTTTATCTGACCTTCAATTCTAAATGATAGCTTTGCTGCGTAGAGCAATCTTGGTTGTAGTTCCATGTTTTTCACCACTTTGAATATTTCTTGCCACTCTCTTCTGGCCTACAAAGTTTCTGTTGAGNTGGGAAACCTCCACCGCTGAGATATCCCTCCCGGGTTTAAACCATGGGACTGTGGCCGAGTCTTCAGGATTCAGCCCCAATCCGCCCTTCCGGCCCTCCTACCAATCTTGATGCTTCTTTAGTTCCCTGGTTGTAGGACTTCTGTGCAGCTAGACTTCAGGAGGTTCTGAGTGATGGTTGTTCTGTATTTTACATGTAATTTTGATGTGGTTGTGGGAGGCGGCGGCTACACCTGTTACCTATGCCGCCATCTTGTTTTGGATAAGAAATATTAAAGGAGAAATACCTTATTTCATCCAGTAAAAAAAAAAATTACATGACGGTCAAAAGGGTACATATTAACTCATTTATATGAACTTAAAAATAAAGTCAGAAGTTTAAAAGAGAAAATAAATTTTGATTAACCAGTATTATTTGGTTGACTAGTTTTGTTAACTGAGTTATAGAAAAGATACTTTCCATTCTTTTTCCTTTTCTAAAATTTGAGATATAACTGACATATAACATTATCTTAGTTTCCGGTGTACAACATAACAATGTGATATATGTATACGAAAGGATCATCACAATAAGTCTAGTTTAACATCCATCACCACACAGAGGCCATTTTCTATTCTTAAACAAAATCTATAGCTACAAAGTTTAAAAAAAATGTATCTAAAGCAAATCCACAGTATATATATAATACGCCTAAACTATTTAAAATTATGATAAATTTCAGATATCAACTTAAAAATGAGAGTATTCATAATTTTTCAAAAAAAATTTAGAAGATATATAAGCAAAAAGCTTCGAAGACTAGTCTTAAACTCTTATACAATACATACAAGATCTGCATATTCATTTTTGTACTGATTGTAGAAAAAACTTAAAATGTCCCTCAATATACACTCATACAATAGAATATTATAAAATTTAAAAATAAGTGAACTAGAAATATTGGAATCAACATGGTTTAATCTCAAAGACTTATTTATATATGTGTTTAAAAACAATCTAAAGTAATACCATATATTGCTCAAGCATACCTACATTTGTAGTAAAAACATATAAAATAGGAAAGATATTCTGCTTACCTCTGAGGAAGAAAAGAGGGTAAGAGAATGGGGACAAAGAGACTTTATTTGAATTTATCATATTTTTTCTCCCCATTATAAAAACTTAAATATGGCAAAATGTTAACATATACTAAACTTGAGTGGTAGCTACCTGGCTATTATATTATTATTTGTACTTGTCTGTGGTTGACATATTTCAGAAATAAAATATTTTAAAAATTGACAGTAATAGCCCAGCTGGGCATGGCTCAGCGGTTGAGCGTCGACCTAGGATCCAGGCGAACAGGGTTCGATTCCCGGTCAGGGCACATGCCCGGGTTGCGGGGTGGATCAATGACTCTCTCATCATTGATGTTTCTATCTTTCTCCCTCTCCTCTCCTTTCCTCTCTCTGAAATCAATAAAGATATATTTAAAAAAAAAAAATTGACAGTAATAGATGGAAACCCTCTAAAATGAAATTACTTACAGGCCAAGGTGGTGGGACAGAAGTTACCTCTGGAGTATGAAAATAAGCAACACCATTATGATAAGTGTAAGGATATCCAGTTGAAGTTGTTAGGTACATTGTTCCAGCTGCTGGCATTACACTGGAACCTAAAGTAAAGATTAAGTAATAATTGAAAAGTTAAATTTAACTTTAAAAAATGTAATTTCTGAACACTGAAAAATGTTTATCTTAACCCACCTATATAGCTACAGTAAAAATTGACTTACTATCTTAGAGTTTTTATTAGCTTAAGGTGAATAAAAAAGAAACAAGTTTAATAAGGAATCTTAAAATTTCACCAATTCAGATTTTAATATCAGTAAAATGAAACACAAAACTTAACAAATAGATTATCAGCAAAGACATTACTTTTACAAATATAAATTATATATAATTTATTTACTATATAGACACTATAGTGAAGTTCCTAAGACTTTAGTAAGACCTTTTATTTGTAAAAGGCCAATGAGGAGGCAGGCAGTAAACCTGGAGGAGATTCTACTTTCTTGAATATTTTGGTTCCACTCTACAAATTCTCTGGATCTACTACAAGCAAGCATTCATTCATGTTATGATTTTCTTTTATGCTCTAATCTTCCTTTGCTACAACTGCTGCTGTTGCAAACATGACCACAAATCTTCATGTGGCTAATTCTGGGTTCCTCATCTCTTTTCCCAGTCTAAGTTAGGTATACTCTCCCCCCAAAATCAACCTATCATCCATCCATCCATCCATCCATCCATCCATCCATCCATCCATCATCTATCTATCTATCTATCTATCTATCATCTATCTATCTATCATCTATCTATCTATCTATCTATCTATCTATCTATCTATCTATCTATCTATCTATCTATCGTCTATCTGTCTATCTATCTATCTATCTATCTATCTATCTATCTATCTATCTATCGTCTATCTATCATCATCTATCTATCATCATCATCTATCATCATGATCTATCGACCATCATCACCTATCATCTTTGTCCAGGAGACTTTAAAATTTATATTAGCCAAGTTAGATTAAGTACCTGACCAGCAAGTTTATATAAATTAAGGGAACTGGCAATCTTCCTTCTGCTCTCAAGATATAACATACATTAGAGTTGCATAGACAGCTTATTAGAATACAAATTCCAAGACTCCATCTCCAAATATTTTGATTCAGTAAGTTTGAGACAGGACCTAAGGATTTGCATTTTGACAGATTCCAAGTGAACAGTTGCTGGCTGTATAGCACACTGTAAGCAGTACTGGCCTATCACTTTAAGTAGTACTACTACTTCTCAACTTTTACATTTTCACTGCATTTCATCTAGTATTGCTTATTTTAATGATTCTCAACTTGATCCTTTATAGAGATTCTGATGAAAGTCATATACATTCAGAATTTTGTATACAATTCAGGAGGTTCGTGGATTTCCCTCCCCTCCAAAGATCATCAAGTAACCACAGATTTATCTGTGAAAGAAATAAATTTTCAGTGAGTAATATTACAAGGCATTGAACTAGGCCCTGGTGATACTGTCAAAAAGAAAAAAAAAAGGGACATGCCATAGTCTCTATCTTCATAGAAGTTCTGATGGGGAAGACAGTCATTAGCTAATTACACAATTAATTAATTAAATACAATTTTCATAAACACATGAAGACGTAGTACAGGGTATTATGCTGGGTAGTAAAGGTTACTAAGCTGAACATTTAATATATATGTGTATATACATACATATTATGTATGTATGTATGTATGGAGCATTTGTGAGAAAATAATGTTTGGGCTGAGATTTAAAACATAAATGGGATGGGAATGGGATGGCAAAGAAACAGTATTTTAGGAGTACGGTATGCTCTGAAACTTAGAGGAGGAGAGATGGCTAAAGCATGGAAAGAAAAGGGAAGAACGGCTCAAAATAAGCAGAGAACAACATGACAAAATGTGAACTTTTGAAAGACTGCTCTGGCTGCCTTGTGTCTGATGGGTTGGACAAGGTATGCAGCTGGCACTAGAAAGTTGGTAATGGGGGACAGAAAAAAGAAGTGACAAGACTTGAAAAAAAATTTGAGATAAGAATCCCTTTTATTTTACAAATGGACTTTCAATAATTATTATTTCTTTGTAGAAAAGTAAAAAGAGCTTTGGAGTCAAACAGTACTGGGTTTGAAGGCTAAGGCTAGCATTTAGTTAAGTTATTTAACCCTACTCTTCTCAAATTTGGGCATGAGATGGTATGCCAGGAAATATGAAAAGGCACAGGCTGAACAATGATCTTCCTACAGAATCAGTTTTATTCAAATAATTATTTTTAGGAAACATTTTTTAGTATTAAAATAAACAATACAACATTATGGAACAGAATGCAAATTGTGCATGATACTTTTACACAATACGAGACTTTAGAGAAAATTTGTAATTATGGCATGCTTCATTGGGTTAAGACCCACAACATGCCAAGATTAACTCTCCTCTACAATGAAGAGTATTTCAGCAGGAATGTGTCTAAAACAATGACTTTACATTTCTAAGACGGAATTTTCTATTTATAAAATAGAGCTAATAATACCTCATGGGTTGCTGTAAAGATTAAATGAAATAAAGGAAAACCTGTACCACTGACCCTTGCACTGAATAGTTCTTAAATAACTATTCATCTGTTTGAAAGCATTCTCCATAGTTCTGATTTATGTTCTATTTTTAGCAACGTGTGGGTCATAATATGACCATAATATGAACCTGTACCTATTGCTGGTGATAATGGGCTTCTAAAGAACCATTACTACATAGTACAACTTAACTCTTGCAACTAACAAGTTTATAAATATTCAGCAGACTGCCATATTTAATGCTTTTCATTTTGAAGTATCAACCTACTGAGGACAATTCAGTTATCTTCTAAATTGATAAATACCAAATCAAAATTAAAGCAGATATCTGTTAACTTACAATCTATTAATTTGTAAACAGATATATAATAAGTACCTAATGTTTTAAACATTCCAGTAGACGCCAGGACAGAGATAAAGAATAAGAAAATTTAGTTACTACCATGGCCATTTTTGTTCAGTGGTTAGAGCACCGGCCCATGCACCGAAGGGTTGCGGGTTCAATTTCCAGTCAAGGGCATGTACCTGAGTTGCAGATTTGATCCCTGGCCCTGGTTGGGGCACGTGCATAAGGCAACCAACCAATGTCTCTCACATTGATGTTTCTCTTTTTCTCTCTCTTTCCCTCCTTCCCTCCCTTTCATTCTCTCTAAAAAAAAATCAAAGGAAAAAATATCCTTGGCTGAGAATTAAAAGAAAATTTAGTTACTAATTTAATGTGAAGTTGCACCTTCTAGTTGAAGACTCTGTTAGAGATTTTAATAAATATTATAGGTAAAAACTGTAAAGATGCCTAATTTAATAAATGGGAGTGAGGGAAAAAAGGGAAGAGCTAAAGCATTACAGAAATTTAAGGACAGCACATAACTTGGCCAATTCTTAAAGCTTTAGGGACTGTTCCTTCTGATAATTATGACACAGAATAAATCATGCAACCAAGCTTCTGATATTGGGTCTATATTTTAACGTTCAGTACTTTTAGTCTAATTTTAAATTACTTTTGTAATTAGACAAGTTTCTAATTAGTGACTCTAAATTACTTCCAATTACTTTTGCAATTTCAAATTCTATTTTTATCTGATTTTTTCTTCAAAGATGTAACTATATGGATTATATTTAAGCATCATTATTCAGGTTAATTTTCCCCTAGCCTCCCCAATCTAATATATATTAATTTGTGATGAGAAATATTCATTTGGCCACTACCTCTGCCAAAGTAACTTTATTAAATGAAAGGAACCTGACATTTTAATGAAATTCTATAGAAGGTTTAATATTTCAAAAAAGAACCATGTAAAAATACTGAAAAATACATTAGTTGTCAATACATACGAGGGATCCCTACTTGTTGTTTTCTTATTGCGGGACCGATGTTTAGTTTCTTATCCTTATAATTAAGTTTTTCAGCCTAGAATAAGAAAAAATAAATTATTTTATTATTTTGGTACTATTGTTTATAAAACCAATAAGGAAAATTAGTTAGAAACATTTTTTAAAATTTAGACTGTAACATTCTTTGATAGCAGCAGCAAGGCATGGTGGAAAGGGCAAAAGTCTTTGGATTTAAACAGATCTTGGTCCAAATCTTGGTTCCAGTGCTCTGACTCTAATTCCTCACCTGAAAGAGTCAATCCTCTATTCACGGAACTCTGGAAATTAACCTACTCATTAAAATTTATCTGTAATCCCAAAATCAATATTTGTGGCAATTTAGTGGTTATTGGCCAAGAAGAAGAGAGAGGTGAAAAATTTGAGTTGCCTCACACACATGGTCCCAGCTGAGGTCAGAGAAGGAGACACTGCCTTATTTCAGCTTTTATACTGTAAATAAGTGTCCTTTTTGTGTTCTATCTAGTGCCATGTGTTTTGCATTTTTGTCATGTTGGTGATATTGCTACTTAAAACAGCCTTTGAGTGTAATGCTGAAGTGCTGGTTAGTGTTCTTAAGTGTAAGAAGGCTGCCATGTGCCTTATGGAGAAGGTTAGATGGGCTTAACTCAGGCACGAGTTATAGTGCTGTTGGCTATGACATCAATATTAATGAATCCATAATAAATATTAAGTATATCTTTAAACAGAAACATACATAAAACAAAATTATGTATTGATTGGTTGATGAAAATATTGTGGGTAGAAGCTTGTGGGACCTAGCCCTGTATTTCTTCTAGAAACAGCAATTCAATATTTGCTAATTCAGTATTTGTAGTGACTTTATAGAATATTGTTGCTACAAGCAAGGAGAATTGAGTGCATATGATTTAATAATATACAACTCAAAACCTATTTTTTCTAAAAAATCAAATGTTACATTTGCCAAATTTCAAGTTATTATACTGAACTGCAGGCCACAGATTTTTTCTACAACTGTTCTTAGTTCACATAAAGTTTTTCATAGGAGGGAAATAACATCAGATAACCTCATTCTAAAAAATCCATATTTGTACTGTTTTTGAGGAATTCAAAGTGCTATTAACACTCAGAAAAGATATATCCTCAAGTTCTTAGTTTAAAGCAAATAAAGCGAAAAGTTATATTACAACTCCACAACCATACTCATGTAATGACTTGAAATTTGTTTTTCTGCAGATAAAGTTCCTCTGTAATTTTTTACTAATTCAATTTTTTTGGAGACCAGTGCCAATCTTAAGATGCAAATAAGTGAATTTTTTTAAGCAATTGATCATTGTACTAACCCTACTATTAAAGCAAATACCACAAACAATTATTTTCAAAGAAAGAAGTTCCAAATATAAAGTTAAATACATTAAAAGATCTTACCTCTTGTAAAATTTTTTGCGCATCCTCTTGTGTTTCAAAAGTGACAAAACCATACCTAAATAAATGAATTAATTATTTTCTTAGAACATTACTTTACAGTTATATTAAGATTTAAAAAAAAATTTTGTTTTTTAAGAATGGGCCACTGTAGGAGTGAGCATTTTTCTATGATGCACCAACATAAAAAACTTAGGAGAATTTTTGGAGGATAGTGTAACTAAACACTATCACCTTCTTTTACAGTCAGGGAACTAAAAGAAAATAACTCAGGGTTCTTGAAACAGTTTCAGACTTGAACTGTATAAGGCAGAAGAGCATGAGATATATGTTCTAGCTTACAAATTAGGATGCAATAAATTTTAGTCAAGAGCAATAATCTCTTTTTAAAATAATAGAAGTTTGGCTTAAATAAAAATCAAAGTAGGAAAAAAATTTTTAATTAAAAAATTTCAACACAACAAACATTTTTACATTGTTAAGTATACAAAGGTATTAATTACTATTATGAGCACATATAAACTGATAATATAATTATTATATATTTCCCAAGCAAATTAAATTAGAAATATGTACAATACAAACTTTACATCTATTTTTCATATATAATTGTCACCTTCAGAGTATAATTCATATAATGTTCAAGATACAAATACATGTTCAAAAAAGCCAAAATAGGTAGACAAAAAGAAAGAAATAAAAAAGCCTATCCTTCCAAAATGTAATTTCTATTTAAGATAACTTAAGGAAACTTTTTTGGGTAGTGCTAAGTATCTTATTTTCTTAAAGTCACAATTATTGTATTATATATAAAGTTTCTTTTTCTAACAAATGAATTTCTATTTCACTATTTGCCTAAACATTAAACAAGGGTTAAGGAAATGTTTTTACACTAAATTTTTTGGTAGAACACACGCACCACCCAGTGGAAAAAGCACAAAATAGTTTATATGTATTTCTATGTGATTTTCAATGATAAAATATGGACATTACCAAAATACTGCAAATTCTATTAGCCAAACAAAAGAAGTACAATCTCACTTTATCCTAATATTGTTCATCAGTCTGAGGAAGTATCTCATTTGTTTAGAAATAACCTCTCTGCAGAATCTCATCTCTTCCAAAGTATCCATTTGTCATATGTTGTTTCCCACTAATCTAGTTTTCTATCACCTCATTGGTCCTTTCTCTCATGCCTATAAATATGTATGTCTTGTCTTTCTTTCAAGAAAACAACTACAATCTTTCACTGATCTCAAGTGCCTTAACCATTTTCTTTAACTTCACAAATTTCTTAAGTGAGTACACTATATAAATACCTTTTAGTTCTCTGAAATTTGCCTTTTGCATATACATTCAAGCCCCTGAAACAGCTCTAAGGTCATTAGACATTTCCAGAAAAATCCTACTGCTTTCTTCTCAATTTTCATTCTCCTTGATTAATAAATTAAAAATTATTCCTGAGTTATATTTCTCAGATCAGTCCCATCATTAGGTCTCTGAGGTACAACCTACAGCTATTCCTTTGTGTCAGCTTCTTTCAAATAAAGCTCTCTTTAGTAGTCTAAAGCAGGTATACAGTTCCCAAAGTATCTGATTCCTTTAGTTTCTGGCTCCTTAACTATTGGACAATACCTACTCAAAATTAAGTGCTTGCTATGTAACACTGAATGGTCCCTTAGCCCATGCAAGAATACCTTTAAGATCAAAATGTAGGAGGAAAGAGGAGTGCACAAAATTCTCTTTTTAAAAAATGGAACCAAAGTAAGATAGCATACAAAACCTAGTAACCCAATAAAAATACAATTGTTAATTCTATGTACTATCTATAGTGATACTAACCCTTTAGACACTCCAGCTCTGTCATTTACAATCTTCACTTCTTTTACAGACCCATATTGGGAAAAAAATTTTCTTAAGTCATTTTCATTTGTCTAATGACATAAAAAGAAAACACAAAAAACATTTTTAAATTGATAAAATAACTCTTATGCTTGTTTTAGAGACAGAAAACTTTATAAATAATAATATGAATGAATATAAGAATATTTCTCAATAAAACAGTACATGAAACCACTAGGTTATTAAAATCAATGTAAGTATTACAGATGTCCCCTTTATCCCCCATTGACCCCCCCACCCCTACTGGCCTTCACTGCACTATTGTCTGTGTCCATGGGTTATGCATCTGTGCATGTATTTCCAAAAGTACTTGAACTCAATTTGTGATAACAATGAAGCAGCTACAAGATTTAAAGTTTTTAGATGCTTTATCATACTCAATATACATTTCAGCTAAATACAGACATTATGATGTTATTCAAAATAAAAAATTGAGTCAAAACTAGACTATAAGGTACAAGATGTCTACAAAGATGGTTTTGGCATATCTGGTTTTAATTAGTCTCAGAATAGACCCATACCACCTTTGCTACAGTATTCGTACTAAATTCATTGCAATTTCATTTTCTGGTTCAGTTATAACTGTCCCTAAGAGAAGCTTTAAATATCCCTAGAAAAAAATTTTCTTTATAGACACAGGTAAACAGATGCCTAAGAGCACAGCTATGCCTCTTGAGTTCCACTGCTACCTCACTACTTATATATATTATTGTTTTTTTAGTTAGTAACCTAAACCTGCTAAACTGGATGATGACAAATACTGAGTTAACCTAAGAATAAATGAATGACTCTTATTTCAATACATACAAAATGGAATCAACACCAGAATAAGGATTTCTGTTAAAGATTTGAAAACAAATTAATTCAAAGTATTTTCTGGTAGAAGAATCAATAGCTCAATTTTGCAACTCAACTTTGTTGAAAAGTTAAGGAGACAGAAAGTCAAGATGATTAAATATTACAGAGATGAGCTACAGGCTTCTAAAAAGAAGAGTTTTAAAAAGTTTCAACTGCTTGCTGCTACAGTAAACTGTTTCATTTTGGGCACTTATCTATGATTTTGGAAAAGGTTTAAGTATAAGGGAGGGAACTCTAGTAGTTACCCCAACGCTATGACTGCATTTTAACAATGGCCTCCAAAATTCATTTTGTAGTTGTAGGTTTCAGTAAGTTAGAGTAACCTAGCCATACAAAGGTTTACATTTATTGATGATTTATTTAAAAAAATATACTAAGCTGCTGTAATATAAATGCTGAGAAAGAATAATTAACTTGAATATTTATGGTCTGCCATTAACATTTTCCACAGAAAAGAAAATCTTTTTAAAAATAAGCATTTCATAAGAAATCATTTTTCTTACTTTATTTTTAGTGAACCAATTATATAATTGCTTAAGATTCATTATTTCTTAAGCAGGAAAAAAATAATTCTACTCAAATTGTGACACTGATTATAGGGAAACTGAGTTATAATGGTCAAGTATCATACTCTAATGGCATAGGATTTTATTAAGAAAGGCGACTCTCCCTGTAATTTCCAATAGAAAATATGGAAGATTGAAAATCCTTCCATATATCCACTTGGAAGTAAGGGTATATTCCACTTAAAATGTCCATGCATTCCTTTTCTGTAGGTGTTTACTACTACCTTCCATATGGGGATACTACAAGACATATCACAAAGTATGCCTCTCTGATATAGCTGATTATATTATTTAAATATATTACTATTAGGATGCTTTATTCGGACAAGAGCATAGGCCTGATTAGATGATCAAATTTTAAATTAGGTGACAGAAAGCAATTTACGAAAGATGAAAGTCTAGGAGGGTACTCAGGAATCTGAAATAAAAGTTGGGGCAAAGAAATAGGATTTCATAGGACAAATTTCTTATGTGTGTTTTTTTGAGTCTTCTTTTGCAAATTATCATCACTTATTATTTGGGCTACTAGAGTACTATGCAAGAAAGTATAACTAGTGTGATATGGTGAAATGAAGAATATGGAGCTACAAGTCAGAAAACTAGGATTCTAGTCTTTACTCTGTCACTAAGTAGCTCGGAGACTACAGACAGGTCAATGAGTCTCAATTTCCATGTATGTGAAACTGCACAATTATATTTGCTCTATTTAATCTCCATTGTTTTTGAAAAGATTCTTTAGATTAAGACAATTTGAAACTTATTAATCACTGTATAAATAGCAAATGTGTTATTACTTTTATGGTTGCACAAGGAAACAATTTCTGAGAAATAAAATAACTTCTAATGCAAAAAACACACCATGTTGTATGCATAAATAGGTACCTTAAAGTCAATTCCTCCTACGAAGATGCGATTAGGGATCACTGTTCCATATCTTGGGGCACTTGTTGGGTTATTCAAAGGCACAGGTGATGCAGGATTAGGGGATGAAGATAATGAATCTGTTTGTGTCTGATTTGATGTTTGCTGTAAAACAAAATTCTTTTAAACTTTTAGTACTGGATATAACTTTTGATGCAGGCTGAAAATATGTATCTTTCAAAAAGATAAGTCATTTAAATAAAATGTATTTTAGACTTTAATTTTATTCTAATTTATGAAGATTATAGTTAAAGCTAGTAAGTTTTGGGGGCAACATAAACATAGGAAATGCAGAATCTACTCCACTACAGGGAAAATCTTAAATATATTATTTAACATACTTAAGTTAATTATTATTAAGTATACCATTTAAATATTATAAATATTAAGGAGGAATATTAAACTCAAAAAGAAGTTTGAGAAAGAAAAAAGTAGCCCTGGGAAGCTAGGAGCTGGCCTGGCATAACCAACTAGGTCCTGGTGTGTTAGAAGTTGGCCTAGAACTCACAGCTAGGCTGTGGTATTCTCTTGTTAAAAGAGCACCAACATCAGATCATGCAAGGCCACTCTGTGATTGTGATGGATGAAGATAAAAATAAGACCACTCCATAATCATGTCTGAACATTGGCAAAAACAAAAGCATTGTCGAAACCATAAGAATGACCAAATATCCCTCTATTCTGGATTATGAGTGACTGCTCCTTCTTTATCAGTCACAGCTTTAGCCTTTATATATTTTTCTTGCCTACAAGAATTAAGGTACCAATCATACAATTACTCCTACATCCTGACAACATGTATTTCAGAGCAAAACCCTTTCTCCTTGAACCCACTCTAAAAACACTTAACACCAGCCTAAACCCTGTAAGTTCTTTCTAACACCATCTTACTGAGAGGCCCCATGATGTATGCCCTACGAAGGGCAACAATTCAATAGACCCAACTTTATTAAACTACAGGTGTGTTCCTGGTGGTCTTTGGCTATAGAACATTGACAAGTTAATAAGCAATGACATTCAAATTCACTGTTTTTCAGTTCTAACATTCAATTTTTAAATGCACTTGTCAGTTTGATGATTTAACTGATTTCATTAAAAAATCATACTATACCTAGCCCTGGCCAGGTTGCTCAGTTGGTTGGAACATCCCTCCTATACCAAAAGGTTGTGGGTTCAATTCCAGGTCAGGGCACATACCTAGGTTGAGGGTTCAATCCTAGGTCAGGGATGTGTACAGGAGGCAACTGATCAATGTTTTCCTCTCACATCAATGTTTCTCTCTCTCTTTCTCTTACTCTCTCTAAACATATCCTTGGGTGAGGATTAAAAAAATTATATACCTATAACTCATAAGTATGAATTTTTATACCAAAGAATTGCACTCAGTGTATATTCATATGTTAACAATTCTGTCAGGAGATCTAATTTAGGTTTTAATAAATATACATTAACAGATAAGCCTTTGCATAGTGGCAAGATAGTAGACGCTTAAGTAGACATCTAAAAAAAACGAAGACTTGAGAACAGAATTTTGAAGAGAAACCAATTCAAGAACTTGCTAATTATTTTCCTTCTAGGAACACTAAACAGTCCTCTGGGACAGTCTAACGTACTAAATGAGTGCTTTAAAAAGCTTAAAGTTCATAATTTCAGTTCTCTGAGAAACAAATACATAAAGTGAATTTCATTTTAGATAATGGAATGTTCTTTTGCACATTTATTCTCCTCTTTCACTTCATTAGCCAATAAAACCATCATCTCTAAATTAGTCTCTGCAAATGTACAAACGACTAGGCCAGTGGTGACTATGAGGCTATAGGCTGAACCTTATGGGCTCTATTATCCATCTAGTTTTAAGAGGGAAAAACACAAGCTCTCTAATAAGGGAGTTCATAAAAACATCTATTAAACCACAGAGAAGTCGACACATTTAATAATTACTGTTGTTTCCAATTAAAGAAATTGGGAATCCAATCTTAACATAAGCATCTTCTCTGGGCATTTGGAGGTTATATGTAACTTCAGTGACTTTACTTGTAGGACATAGTGCCCAAAATAGATGATTCTAGGATGCTTAATTTTATTTTTCAACTGCAGATTTGTATTGTTAGAAATAATATAATGATATAGTATTGGCTCTCTGCCTGTTTAGAGAGTGTAGAAACTACCTACTTGCAATTAAAAAAAAAAAATCAGTCATGAAATTCTTTTTAAAAGCAAAATTAATTCAATGGATGAGCGCATTTGTTCTCAAATTTGTTTCAATAAAAGTAAACACCATTATTACTATTTTTTTCATTAAGGGATGACATGAACAGAAGTGAACACAGTGCTTTATTTCCAATCTTGAGAAACTAGTTAAATGATACCAAGAAAAGAAAGACATCAACTTTTTACATGCAATACACTTCATTCTCCAGTTTGTAAGGCTCCTGCTCTATTGTGGGTTCCAACTGCTTTTTCTCTTTACCACTTATCAATTTCCAACATAATGTATAATTTACTTATGTTTGTCTGTCTCTTTCCACTATAACGTTATGTTCACGAGGGAAGGGGTTTTGCCTATTCACTACAGCATTTAAAGTAGTTATGATACATAGCAGGGACTCAGTAAATACTTGCTGAACTAATGAATAAACGAATGAATCCTTTCTTCTTGCTCATGATATGCCAACTAGTAGTCTGCAGGCTTTAGAATACAGTATGAATAATAACCTAAAAAATACTTTGGTAGCTGCAACCAGGCTCAGGTAGAGGCAACACCTAAACTCCTTAGAGAAGCACAGCAATGCACTGAGTTAAACACTAAAGCCTCAAATCCCACCGGCAATAATTTTGCAAATGTATGAAAAAGCAAGTGTATGTAGGTAGGTGCTGTTACTGGGTTATGATAAGGGCCCTTTGCGTCAACTTCCAGCACCAGAGAGTTTATTAAAAATTTCCTCCAAAGTAGTGTACCTTCGCTACCTACCCCCTTGAGAATTAACCTTGAACTCTATCATCTACTTTGCCAACGAAGACAACAGGAAGAGGGCGGGCTAACCGTCGCAGTCACGGCCTCGAAGCTCCTTCCCCTGAGAGGCCAGCAAGTCGAGGTGCTGGAGGAAATGGCAGCGGACACAACTTCCTCGGGTTCTCTCGGGTCATCGTGAATTTGGGCACTGACACGAGGATCCACCCCCTCCCCACCAAAGTGCGGGAGGGAAAAAAAGGCTAACCAGCGAGAAATTTTGCCCCACAAACCCGCCAGCAGCCGTGGCGGGAACCCTCAACGGCACCGACCGGACGTCGGTCTCGTGCGTAGCTAACCCCGCGGCCCTCGTGTAGCGCACGCTGATTGGCTGCCGGCGGCGCGGGGCGGGGCTCCGTGTTGCCTGGCCCGCTCCGTCTTCTGCCCCTCCCCCCACCGCTCAGCCCAGATCCGCTCGGGCGTGCGCTCGGTGTTAGTGTCCGGGCCGGCCTGGGCCACGGGTACCCTCCTCCCACGTCGCTCAGGCCTTCGGGTCCCCACTGACCAGGCGGGGAGGGGAGCTGTCAGCCGCCCTGACAACCCCTCGCAGCGGGCGGCTGGGCTGAGCCCTGCTGGGGCG